AAGGAAGACGGGGCAGGGGAGCATGGGGGAGGGTCCCCAAAAAGGGAAAGAGAAAGAGAACAATGTGGGCGGGCAGAGACAGAGGAAGAAAGATATGGAGAAATACAGACATCAAGTGGCAAGATGAAGGAGTTTGAGAGTACAAAGGGCAAATGCAGAGACAGTGAAAAAGAGCTCAGAAGGACAGAGGGATGAGAGGCGGAGGGAGGGCAGTGAGAAAGAAACAGGGTGAACAAAACAGAGGCCGCTGAGAAGGAGAAAAGACAGGGACAGCGAGAAATAAGCCCAGGGGAGAGGGAGGAAGAGGGAACAGAACCCGGAAGGGAGCGAGAAGCAGACAAATGAAAAAGGGCTTGGGAAGTCAGAGCCAGAACTAGAAACAGGCAGAGAAGACGGAGGGGTGATCGAGTGTGGTAGAGAAAAGGGAGGGAGGCCCTGGAGGACGGTGGGGGCAGGTGGGGAGGAGGGGAGGCCTGAGAGCAGCTCAGCTGCAACTGGGGCTGTGGTACGGGCTCCCCAGGGGCGGGTGGCCGGGGCTAAAGTCCAAGGTCGAGGCCCCCTTCCTTCCCCAGCACGCTCCCCGCCTTTCTCACCCCCCCTTCTCCTTTCTGCTCCCTCAGTTCCCCACCCAGCTCCCGCTGAAACCAGCCTTCCCCGCGTCTCCCCAGACTGGAGGGATGTCCTGTGGGGGGCTGGGCAGAGGGAGAGGTGCCCCCTCCCAGACACACACGTTGGGAATAAAGCGCTTCCTTTGTTCTTGGGCCTCTATTTGGCCCATCTGGGTGTGTGTTTAGTAGGGATAGGGGAGTGGTGAGGTAGAGACCAAGAAAGAGAGAGAGATGGGCAGAGAGCTGGAGGGTGAGACACAGTGATAGAGATGCCACAGAGAGACTCAGAGGCAGACAGAGACAGGGGAGACACAGAGACAAGGAGACAGAGAAGAGAGGGAGATAGAGACTAAAACACAGTAACGCAGAGACACAAGCAGAGCCAGATCCCAAGAGGCCCAGCAAGACCCAGGCAGCCTTGGAGAGGGAGATCCAGCCCAGCTCTGCCTCCCCATGGGAACTGCCTTCCTCTCTGCCTCAGCTCCCCAGTCTTGCCTGAGGTTATCCAGGGGGAATGCCACTGGCTTCTCAATCCCGTGGCAGCATAGACGCCCTCCTCCCAGACCCCAGGCCCCTACTCACTCGCTGATGCAATGGGCAGCTGTGAGCACCCACTGGGGGTGCACCAGGACGCCCCCGCACTGGAAGGTGCTGTAATGGTACAGAGCCGCCTGCCAGGGTTGGGAATGCGGCTTACAATCCCAGCCTCCCACAATCCGGGACTGAATCGGGGGCACAGCACCTGCAGAGGTGGTGCTGGGTCAGGGAGGGCAGGGTTGGTAGGAGAGGCCAGGGACGAGGCTAGGAGAGGGAGCTGGGCTGTGGGGTCTGAAAGGACATTGTGGGGAGAGGACCAGGGCTGGAGGTCTGGGGACATGGCAAGGGGTGTTGGGAAGGGCTGGGACTCTAGACCCTTCCCTGGGCTTTTGGGGTGGTGTCTAGACCTAGTGGGGAGATTTCGTGCTCTGACAGCAGAGCAGCCTCCAGGGATTAGGGCAGGAGAGAGGAGACAGTGTTGGGAGCAGACAGTGTGTCTGAGTGTCTGGTCACTTGGGCTGGGGGACGGGAGGTTATGGGTTAGGAGAGTGGAAAGGGATTCTGGAAACCAGGGATCAAGGCACCAAGGATGAGAGAGGATCAGAGGCTTGCTGAAGAATGTGGAGGGCTAAGGGGCTCCCAGGCTAGGGGAACAGGACCTGGGTTGGGCTTTTGGGGTTCAGGAAAAGATGCATCTTTAGGGAACCGGGTCTGAGAGGCCAAGAAGAACATCTGGATTGAGGAGTTTGGGGGTGATATGGGGGTCCCTACAATGGGGTTGGAAGGGGCCAGCTCAGCGGGGAGAGTTAGATTTCATGGCTTCTTGGTTAAAGGGTAAAAGAAAGGGCCATGGTTAAGGCTAGGGTTGGGTTCTGAAAAGTTTTGGGATCCTACCTATGAACCAGGAATGGCAACCTGAGAACAGGGAAGGGGCTCAGGAGGAGGGAGGGGTGAGTGACAGTCCTTCTGGGACGGGGTGATGGATGGGATCTTTGTTTTTTATGGGGTTGGGGTTCATAGTCTGAGGGTACTGGAGGGATGTGGGGTTCTCTTGGAGGCAGTCCCAGGATAGATTTGGAAAAGTGGTCAAAACAGGTGCCTAGCAGCTGCGGGAATGGAATGTAGGACCCACTTGATGTAGGGTTGTAGAATCACATGCTGGTGGACTTGGGGGAGGCCAGGGCAGAAGGTCTGGCTGAGAAGGCATTCAGGATCCTTGGGGTGGGGTTCTAGAAAACCAGAGCTGTGCAGGAACAATTCAGGTGGAGAAGGGCTGGGGCCTGGGGCGGGATGGAAATTCCCCAAGGGAAGTAGCATGTGGTGGGAGGGTGAGGGTGTTTTTCCTGGGAGAGCTGGGGGTGCTGAGTGGGTAGGGACATTTGCAGAGTCCTTCCCCATACCAGATGGGGGAATCCCACATGCCAGATTGGGAAGCAGGGTTGGCTGGTGAAATTTGGGGGAGCTGGGGGGACCAGATGTCAGGGTCTGAAGGACACAGTTGAGAGCTGACAGCTGGACGGAAAAAGTCACTGGAGTATGGTGGGATTTGTAGACTCAGGAGCCAGATGGGTGACGGCAGAGAACTAGAGGGTAGGAGGGGATGATCAAGGGTCCTGTGGGGTTGGGGAAGCCCATGGGAGAGCTGGGTCCTCCAGAGAGAGATAGAGCTGGCCCAGAATCTGCCCCTTGGGTAAAGCTGTGGGACAGGGAGTTGACTAGGGAAGAGGAGAAAGTACTAAGGCTTTCTGGGAGGAGCAGGGATCTGGTGTGGGAGTGAGGACTGTGACAATATGGAGGCGCTGGGGTGGAATTTTAGGGTGGGCCCGTATGAGATAGATAAGAACCCGGGCATCCCGGACGCAGGTGGACTGGAGGGCTGGAGGGGCGATGATGGAGTGTTGGAGGGGAAGGGCTTATCGGGAGGGGGGTGAGGGCAGCAAGAAAGTCAGGGCCCGCTCCCCTTCCCACATCCCCCCACTGTCTCACCAATCCCCCCCAGGGACAGGGCGAGGCACAGGACCAGGAACCACATGGTGACAGATGTGTGCAGGGCCCGGCAGGTGGAGGAGCTGGGGAACTTCCCTGAGGAGCCTTTTAAAAGCCCTTATCCCCTCAGAGCCCCACCCATGCCCTGCTGGCACCCAGATGGCCAAGGCCGTTCCCCTGTTGCCTGGGGGCTGGACAACCTCCCCCCCTTATCCCCAGAGCTGCAGACTGGAGGGAGAGCCAGCACCTGTTCTGCAGGCCCTGGATCACGCTGGATGCATTCCTGGGGCTGAAGCCAGGTGGGGCAGGGCCTGTGGCTCTGGGGCTTTGCTCTGGGGAACAGCCTGTGAGGCAAGGGGGACTGAGCGGAAGCAGAAACAGGAGGGTGGAGGAATAAGTGACCCTTGTACAAAGCTCCATATACCTAAGATCCAATTAAGGCCCTGTACCCCAAGACCCGGTACCCTCAAATACCAGCAATTAGGGCTTTGATTTCCTGCACCACTCAGAGCCAAGATACCAGCATTTCAGCTGCCAGTTCCCCCTGAAATATAAGCCTTGGCCTTCAGAATGCCCTGGTTCTTGCACTTCCAGAACCAGGACCTAGGTCCCCAAAGCGACTGTTCCTTTCATAATAAAATTTTAGGGTACACACCACCACTTTCCTAGTGCCTCCAGATCCAGGAATGTGAAGTTTCAGGGGTCTCCCAGGGTAAGTTCTTTAGCATTACAAAACCCAATGTTCCTCCCAAACAATGCTGGGGTCCCAGTGAGCCACCCACTTCTTGTACCAGTTATGGGTCCTCAATGTCCTGCCCTCCAAAGCCCCAGAGATCTGACAACCTTCCCTCCCAGGTCAAGATCAAGCTAACCACAGATTCCACTGACCACCCCCCATCCCACCAGTACAATATTTAGGTCTCAAGAGCTAGGTTCATGTACTTCAACATTCAGTGACCTTGAACATCACATTTTGTGGTCGCTGAAGACAACTAGGAATTAGATTCCTACAGCCTCAATGGTAAACCCATAGGCTTCCAACATGTTGTCTTGGCTTTTTGGTAAAATCAAAGCAGCTCAGAGTTCCAGCCTCTGCCGTATATCAGGAACCTGGCCAAGCAAAGGACAGTATTTGCCTTTTTGCCATGGCTACCAGGAATCCCAGAACTAAATCTTTTTTTTTTTTTTTTTTTTGAGATGTAGTCTTGCTCTGTCACCAGGCCAGAGTACAGTGGCGTGATCTTGGCTCACTACAACTCTTGCCTCCCAGGTTCAAGCAATCCTCCCATGTCACCTATCAAGTAGTGAGGATTACAGGTATGTGCCACCGTGCCCAGCTAATTTTTTGTATTTTTAGTAAAGATGGGGTTTCACCATGTTGGCCAGGCTGGTCTTGAACTCCTGACCTCAAGTGATCTGCCCTCCTTGGCCTCCCAAAGGGCTGGGATTACAGGCATGAGCCACCGTGCCCAGCCCAGACCTAAATCTTTTTTTTTTTTTTGAGTTGGAGTCTCGCTCTGCTGCCCAGTCTGGAGTGCAATGGTGAGATCTTGGCTCACTGCAACCTCCACCCCCTGGGTTCAAGAGATTCTCCTGCCTCAGCCTCCAGAGAAGCTGAGATTATAGGCGCCCACCAAAGCACCTGGCTAATTTTTATATTTTTAATAGAGACAGAGTTTCAACATGTTGACCAGGCTGGTCTCAAAACTCCTGACCTCGTGATCTGGCTGCCCTGGCCTCCCAAAGTGCTGGGATTACAGGCGTGAGCCACCGTACCAAGCCTATACCTAAATCTTAAAGAAAAAGCCATTTTTGGTGATTAATGTCTGCGAGGTCCTTTAACTGGGATCCAGAGATAGAGGGTACTACTCAGTGCCAGACACTGTTTTAGTCAGTTCAGACACATCATCTCATTTAATCCTCACAACAGCTCTTTGAAGTCAGCAATAAGATGTTTTCATTTTACAGATGGGGAAACCAAGGCCAAGTGAGATTAAGTTTCTTGTTCATCACATGGCTGGTCATGTGTGTTGAATGAATGGAGCCTTACTTCAGGCCATTTCTCCTCACCCAGGGATCAGGGTGGTGGGTGAAAGGAACAGTGTACAGTGTCTCTGGGTTTCCCTTTAACCACAGAATGAAGTCACAGAAATTCCTACAGAGAAACTTGGATCAGCGCTTTGTTATCCTGGCATTAAACGGGTGACCTTGAGCGCCAGCTTTGTCCTCAGGTGGGACAAGTCCTTGGCTAACATCTGGGCCTTGGACAAGGTCTTGGGGGATGGCTTCATTCTGTTCCATGTCAAGCGGGGCTGCTGGCCAGCTGTGGGGGCTGCTGCTCAGTCAGGGGCACAGGTGATAGGCCAGAATAGTCAGTTCCTCTTCATGGTTTCCCTGATCCATTTCACGTAGCGGCAGACTTTGGTATAGACACCAGGCTTGGTGGTATTGTCACAAGGGACGTCACCCCAGGACACAATGCCCTGTAGGACGCCCCCACAGACCAGGGGTCCCCCGGAGTCACCCTGTGGGGAAAAGAGGGGGTCTCAGGTTGAGTGAAACTTCCTGGATTCAGTGCATTCATCCTCATCCTAATCCCCATTTGCAGTCTCACCCCAAACCCAAGCCATCCCCATCCCAGGGAACGCCAACCCAACTCAACTCAATATGGCCCAGTTTATCTCAAATGGAGCCAACCCAGCCCCACCCCCAATTCAACACAGCTCAATGCAACTCACCCAACCTATGTCCAGTCTTACCCACATGAACCCCAGTGCAACTGAACTAAGCTAACTCCAGCTCAGCCGACATCCTCACCATTCAAAATCCAACCAAACCCATGCCTATCTCACAACTCAATCCCAATCTTCATGCCTTCTGCATTCCAAACAAAATCTACCCCATCCCAATTCAACCCTCACATATTTGCCACCCAAAATCAAACCAGACCATTCCCATTCTCAACCTCAACCCATACCATCCCAAACTATCACATTATCTACCTCAAACAATGCAATCCCCACCTATAACCCCAACTCCAACCACACCCCTATTCTAACTTCTCTTCTTACTCCATCTCCAAGTCTAACCCTAGCATCTTCCCTGGCCCAAAGCAAAGAAAATCCAACCCCATCCCCACTCCCACACCTGTCCCCATCTCTCTTCCTCTGCCTAATGGCCCCGCTGGGCTCTGACCTCACAGGATTTCGCGCCTCTGCCCTCTGCGCCTGCACAAACCATGGTGTTCGTCAGGCGCCCCGGGTAGTTCTTGTCACAAGATGCATCGGAGATAATGCTGATGTTGGCACAATGCAACGTATCTGGGAGACTCACTGGGGAGGACAGTGTACTTGGAGCAGGTCCATAAATTCTGGCCCTTGTCCCCTCCACCCAAGAGCCCTGGAGCATAGGATTCCTTGAGGCCTCGTATTCAGCTCCATTCTTTCACGCACCTTGTGACTGGGGTCTCCCTGTGGTCCCAGGCTCGTTGTGGGACACCAGGCCCCAGCCAGACACCACACAGGCCTCCCCTGGGTGGGGGCAACGCATGGGTAGCACCACGGGGCGCACCTGGGGGGTCAGGCGTGCGGGCTGGACTAGACGCAGCAACATGATGTCATGGCGGTGGCTGCGCTTTTCGTAGCGCGGGTGTGGGATGACCCGAGATGCGGTCCTTAGTTGCTCTGGGCCATCGCGCTTGCGCAGGTTGTGCTCTCCCAGGCGCACTCTCATGAAGCTGTGCAGGTGAATGGTTTTCCCGCCAATTGGGGGCAGGCCAGTGGTTACCCACAAGTAGAGGACAGAAGGATCAAAGAGTGGACAGGCCGAGGTCCCCAGACCCTTTTGGAATCTCGACATCCCATGACCTTTTCCCAAGAGCCCAAAGCCAATGGTTCTAGCCCCTGCTCCTCAAGGACCAAGGATTCTGAAGTCATGCACACTCTTAGAACTCAACCCCCTTCAACTACTCCCAGCCCCCTCCTGGCCTCTCCCTAAATCCAGGATTCTCAGATCCCTAGAACTGAGGCTTAAAAGCTGGAACTAGTCTTCTTCCTCCTTCAGATATCTAAGGCTTTGAAACATACACTCCCTCTCACCCAGGGGCTTGACTTCCAGCCTTCTTGTCCATCAGAACCCAGGAGTTCTGGCATCTGCCTCTGTCTTCCCCCCAATTCTAGGAACTCTTCCCCCAGTCAGGCTCCCTCAGGACCCTGAGCCCTGCCTTCATACCGGCTTTGGCAGTGGGCCGCAGACAGCACCCAGTGTGGGGAGATGAGGGAAGCGCCACAGTTAAAGCGACCACGCTCGTAGAGGGCCACTTGCCACGGCTGGGAGTGGGGTACACACTCCTCACCTTCCAGCAACTTGCCGCCATCCTGAGCTGCTGGGAGAAGGGATAGAGGGCGCCTGAGGACAGGGACCTTTGCATTGCCCCCTACACCTTCCTTGCACCCTGCACTAACTACTATATGCCTACACTTCCCTAACTTCTCAAGGTACCCTGCCCTGGTTTTTTGTTGTTGTTTGTTTTTTTGAAACAGAGTGTCGCTTTGTTGCCCAGGCTGGAGTGCAGTGGCACTATCTCAGGTCACTGTAACCTCTGCCTCCCAGGTTCAAGTGATCCTCCTGCCTCAACCTCCTGAGTAGCTGGGATTACAAGCGCCCGCCACCACACCTGGCTAATTTTGGTATTTTTAGTAGAGATGGGGGTCGCACCATGTTGGCTAGGCTGGTCTCGAATTTCTGACCTCAAATGGTCTGCCCGCCTCAGTCTCCCAAAGTGCTGGGATTACAGTTATGAGCCACTACGTTCCACCTGTCCTCTTGTTTATTTACAACTGCTGCCTGTTTTCTCCAAAACTCTAGCACCCACCCCATTTGCTATAAGACTCTGGGAGAGAGAGGAAGGGGAACAGACCAGAGGGCAAGAAGTCCTCTGTGGTTGGGGGTGGAGACAGGGACACCAGATATAGGTTTAGACAGATGGTCACTTGAAATCAGTCATTCAAGGTCACCAAGTTGTCACAGACATCAAACGGATGTGGTCATAGTCAGTATGTATGACACAGCCTTGGCCCCAGAGTCTGGACATGTCAGCCAAATTCAGTGTGCAGATGAGTCCCAGATGTGGCCATACAAGGTCATAGACATGCATACATGCACATCCAGCTTCCAAACTCAGCTACAAATATGGACAGGACTGGGAGCAGAAATTCACTTGCATGCACATGGGTTGCAGCTGCAAGAATCACAGCACAGGCTGGGCATGGTGGCTCACACCTGTAATCCTAGCACTTTGGGAGGCTGAGGTGGATGGATCACCTGAGGTCAGAGTTTGAATCCAGTCTGGCCAACGTGGTGAAACCCTATCTCTACTAAAAATACAAAAAATGAGTTGGGTATGGTGGCAGGCACCTGTAATCCCAGCTACTTGGGAGGCTGAGGCAGGAGAATCACTTGAACCTGGGAGGTGGAGCTTGCAGTGAGCCAAGATCATGCCACTGCACCCTAGCCTGGGCAACAAGAGTGAAACTCCACCTCAAAAAAAAAAAGAATCACAGCACAGATGTTTATATGTGTATGTGACTACGGATGGTTAAGACATGAATACACACACATTCACACAGAATTGGGTACGGTTCAGAACTAGCTTCGTCATCTCTAGTGTGAGTCTTGGCATCCACTCTCACAGATACTTGCATACAGGGTCTGGACAAAGAAGGGGTCCTTGTCCCTGGGTTCAAATGTACAAGCTGTGAAACTTTGAGCAAGTTATTTGACCTCTCTGTGCCTCTGTTTCCTCATCTGTAAAATGAGGATTGTTGTAAGGATGAGGTAGGAATGTGCATGTGTGTGTGCATGTGTGCATGTATGGTGAATGATACCTAGCCCACTATAGCTACTTAATACATATTAGTTGTTTTTTTACAAAGGGCACCTGGATTTATTCATAGGGACATACATGTGAATATTCAGGTCCATCCTGAAATGGCCAAAGTAAGTCAGACATCTGCACAGACCTACACATAATAAATAGTCAGGGGTAAAACTATGATTCAGCCACGAGCCATTTTGTAGCGTTAGAGCTGCAGACACAAACCCAGAGGGCCAACACTCAGATGTGGACTTGCTGTCTGGGGCTGGGCATTCAAGGTCAAAGACATGCAGCTGGAGCCACAGGCAGCTGGGGCAGGACATATTTATCCATCTCTAGATCAGCCCCCAAGCCAGATCTGGGGAGTTCAAGGTCACTGATTGGGTTTCACCTTTGGGGATCTGGTTCACACATGTGAAGAGGATATGAACATACAGGGCCTTGTATACCCACTGCACACGTGCGTGTACACACACACACACGCACAGAATGGGACATGCTTAAGGGCATAATGAGAGACATTCAAGGTCACAGGACCAGGACCCTCCCCACTGGGCAATGTGGATGTGTCCCCTTAAGGTTGAAGCCATGCACACCCCCACCCACATAGGAGTAGGATTTGCACAGCCAGACTAAATGCCCACACTCTGCCCATCACAGTCAGGAACTGGGCCAAAGGTCCCGGTGAGACCAGGAAAATGCGGATGTGGTGGACGAGAGGCTTAACAAAGGAACAGTGAGGTCGTCCCTTGAAGGGCGGAGGGTAGGGCTGAACAGCTGGGCACCGAGGCTGCACCTGGCCAGTCCAGGCCAGAGGAAGGTGGAGGCCCCAGCTGGGTGCAGCAGGCAGGTGGGAGGCAAGGAGATGAGTGCACAGAGAGAGCCGGAGGGGAGGCTGGAGGCATGGGAGTCTGAGGGGCCCCCAAGAGTGAGGGTCATTTGTGCAGAGCATTAATGAAAGTCCAACCCCCCTCAATGTCTCCAGAGGAGAGGAGGCATCAGGTTACAATTAATTTCTCGGTGTGTGGTGGCTGAGTTCAGTCTGGAGTTTGCCTGCCACCCAGGGTGACCTTGACCTTGTGGCCGGCCCTCTGGGAGCCGCAGCCCCTTCCCTTGTCACATGAGGTCTGTGGTGCCCACCTCACATAGACATCGTGTGTAAGCTCGAAGCACCGAGCACGGCTTACACACAGGAGAGGGCACTACCTGGGCCAGGCTTGTGCTCATGCCTCACACGCAACCACCAAAGACCCTGTGAGAGTCAGGGAGTGTCAGGCATGAGACTCCAGCTGGAGTCTGTCTGTGCTCCTGGACTCACAGCACCTGTCTCATGCTTACTGTGTATACTAACTGTTATGCTATTGAGACCTCACCATTGTCTTAAGTGGGTGCTGTCATATAGAGAACGCACTCAAAGCCCAGAGAGGTGAAGCAGTTCCCTCGAGGACACACAGCAAGGAAGCGCCTGCCCTAGGATTCAGCTCAGGTTTGTGTAACCCCAGGACTGTGTTCCTTGTCATGGGTAGTGAGAGGCCCCGGGGACAGCATGGTGACTCCAGAGTAGATGGTGACTCCGGCCCCTGATGTGAGGACTTAGGAACATTGGCGCAGGTGGAGGTGGAGGGAGAAGAAGGATTTTTAGTGGTCTCTGGGTGAGGTAGGGGCTGGCAGATCACTGGGACCAGACATGCTTGGGGAGGGGACACCTGCTCCCGCAGACCTAACACTTACCTGGGGCCACCTCACCTGTGGATGTCAGCAGGAAGGAGAGAGGGAGAAGCCACATTGTAGAGGAGGGCCCAGGGTTCGGCTGCAGTCTGGGGAGGGAGTGAGAGAGTCCAGGTGAGGCAGGACTCTTCTGCCTCCACCAGGATCCCTCCAGACACAGACTTATCCCACCCACTGTTAATACATTTCTTCCGACCACCAGTGTCCCCTTCCTCCAACCTCACTCTGCGCTTCCTTCTGGGTCCTCCATCTCTGGAGGGTTTACTCTTCCTCTAGGCACTGGGACAGACCCCGGTCCCTGCTTCCCTGTGTATCAGTCCCCAGCTCCCTGCCACCAGCCCCTGGATCTCTCTCCATCACCGGGGACCACTATCCAAACTTCCTATCTGGCCTTTTGGGTCCCTCTCCAGTTCCATCCCCTCCACTGGCCTGTCCCTGACCCATAACCTCAAAGGGTCTTTCTATATCCGGAGTTGACTGTGCCCCTCCCCTGCTTACCACCTTTTGTGGATTCTTAGTACCCCCAGGATAAAGTCCCCCCTTCAGCATCACTTTCTTTTTTCTTTCTTTGTTTCTTCTTCTTTCTTTGTTTTTGAGATGGAGTCTAGCTGTGTTTCCCAGGTTGGAGTGCAGTGGTGCAATCCCAGCTCACTGCAACCTCCACTTCCTGGGTTCAAGCGATTCTCCTGCCTCAGCCTCCCAAATAGCTGGGATTACAGGCATGCACCACCATGTCTGGATAATTTTTTGTATTTTTAGTAGATGGGGTTTCACTATGTTGGCTAGGCTGGTCTTGAACTCCTCACCTCAAGTGATCCACCTGCCTCAGCCTCCAGAAGTGTTAGGATTACAGACATGAGCCACCATGCCTGGCCCATCAGCCTCACTTTCAAGGACAACAGTGGCTTCTGCCCTTCCAGCCCCTCTGCCCGCATCTCCCATGACCTTGTCCTAGGCACAGGTAATGCTGCCATTTTCTCACCTGCCATTTCATGCTCAGGCTCTTCCTCCCACCAGGTATCCGACACCATTCCCTTCCAGCCCCACTTCCTCCTTGACGCCTTTTCTGACCTCCCCTGACCCTCAGTGGTGTCTGCCTCCCCTACTAGACTGGCAGCTCCCTGGGGAGCTGGTCTGATCCACTCTGGGTCTCCAGTATTGCAGTGCCCAGCCCATGGGAGGCCTCAGGAAGCTTTGGGAGTGAATTAGAGTCCTTCTTCCTCATATCTTCCAAATTTGTCTTTGTCCTACATGGCTCTGTCCCCACATCTTCTGGGAGGCCCCAACACCTAACAGGTGTCTCTCCTGAATGTCACAGCACCCATTTTGCCTCTATTACATGCAGATGCCCCATACTTGCTGAGGTCTTGCCTATTCTTTTCCTGATCTGGGTGCCTTGAAGATGGGGCTCAGGTCAGGTCCTTTCTGTGTCCTGAGCACTGCCCTGCCTGGGGCCTGGCACACAGGAGGCCTCGGGGAGGTTGTGCTGAAACGACTTGAACCCGTGATCACGCCTATGTTCTTGGCTCTGGTACAAGCGCTTCAGGGACGTCCTCCCAATCCACTCCACCCCCTCCCTCCCCACCTCTGCGGCTCCTTCTAGCCACTTCAGGACATTTTCTTGGTTCAGGTTCAATTTGGGGCATTGGTGAAGGACACATGGATCCACCCATACCCTTGACACTCAGTTCTCCTAGGGTGGCTGCCATTTCCCCTTGAGACCAGGGCACAGTTAATCTCCCCTTCACCCCTCCCTCCAGTCTTGTCTCAAAGCTCTCACCTCTTCCAGAACCTCCAGCAGTGTCTAGGGCAGCTTGGGTGCCAGAAGAAAGGGAGTGGGCAACAGGATGTCTGAATTTATAAGCTCCCAGCCCCAGCTGGGTCTGGGGGTGCGGTGGTGTAGGGTGGGGTGGGAGGTGACTGAGAGTCAGGTTTACAGGCAGAGACGCCTTGGTGGCTGGTGGGGTGGGGGACTTGGCCTAATGAGCATTTATTAGGTTGAAGTTGTTGTCTGAGTCTCCAAGGAAGAATTCTCCAGTAGAGGCAGTTCCTCAAGGGGGAGGGGACAGGAGGACAGAAACAGAAATTAGGAGGAAATCAAAAGATAGAGCCTGGAATTTGGGGTCTGGAGTCTGGAAACTGGATCCTAGAGTAATTGTTCTTCGGTTTGGGGCAGGGTTCCGGATCCCGTGTTCTGGATCCGGATGTTTGGTTCTGGATCTGGGTCTTGGATTCTGGATTTGGGGATCTTGAGTTGGAGATTAATGACTTGCAGTCTGTAGTGTGCATTTCCAAGTCTGAGTTCTTGGGCCTGGGGTCTGGAATCTGGATCCTGGAGTCTGGTCTTTGAGTGACAGATCTTGAACCTGGATTCTGGATCTTGGGGCATTCAAATCTAGAATCCACAGTAGGAGCCTGGAATCTGGTGTTTGGAATCTGGCACTTGAGGTTAGAAATCTTTGCACCTGCTATAAGAAGCCTGGGGACTAGAGTACAAATGATAGATTTTGGATTTTGAATTTTGGGGTCTGGATTCTTTTTTTTTTGAGACGGAGTTTTGCTTTTGACACCCAGGCTGGAGTGCAATGGTGTGATTTTAGCTCACTGCAACCTCCGCCTCCCTGGTTCAATCTATTCTACTGCCTCAGCCTTCTGAGTAGCTGTGATTACAGGTGCCTGCCACCATGCCCAGCTAATTTTTGTATTTTGGGTAGAGATGGGTTTTCACATGTTGGCCAGGCTGGTGTCGAACTCCTTACCCTAAGTGATACACCGGCCTCAGCTTCCCAATTGCTGGAATTACAGGCATGAGCCACCTGCACCCAGCTTGGGGTCTGGATTCTACAGGGTGGATTTAAGCTCTGAGCTTTCCAGGGTAGACTTTGGAGCATAAAGTCTGGAGTTTCAAATCTGCATTGTCCGTTTAAAAGCTGGACTGCAGCTGGGCAAAGTGGCTCATGCCTTTGGGAGGCCGAGGTGGAAGGATTGCTGTAACTTAAGGGTTCGAGACCAGCCTGGGAAACATAGCAAGACCTCATCTCTACTAAAAATCTAAATAAATAAATAATAAATAAAATTTTAAAAGGCTGGTTTGAGAGACAGGGACCTGGCTTTTGTGATTCTTAGATTTCTAGAATCTTGACTTCAGAGTCTGAATTAAGAGTCTGAGAACCTAGGATCTCTATTCTGGTCCTGTAGTCTTATTTCTGGGTTTTAGAGCTTGAAATCTGGGTTCTGCATTCCAGAGGCTGGAGCTTGTCACTGAGATGACCCAAGGCTTTGGGTATTTGAGGCTGGATGTCTCAAAACCCCAGAGGGCCCCAGGCAGTTGTCTAGAGTCTATTTTGGCTTAACTAATGAGGAGGTCTGGAGACAGGAGGGATTGACCTCAGGCCACCCAGTGAAGGATAGGGCCTGTTGTAAGCGTGGTCTCTCCAAGTATGGAAAGCCATCATCTTTATGGGAGGGAGTCACTTGGGATTCAACCATTCTAGAACTATAGACCCCAAGAATTTCTAGAATATCAGACTTTCAGATTCTAGAAGCACGGGCCCTAAGACATTCTGGTAGTCTAGAACACTATGGAATGTGAGATTTTAGAATAGTCTAGAACCACAGAGCTCCAAACACTCTAGAACCTTAGAGCATCGGGCATTCTGGAGTTCCCAGAAACCTTATGCATTCTAGAATGTGGGGTCTCCAGACATTCTACAAGCCCAGCCCTGCAGACATAATGGAGCCTCAGGCTGGAAGCTATTCTAGAATGCCTATGTCCCTTTGCGTCGCTCCCCACAGATTCATGCTCCAAGTCTGCTGGCCTCACCCTGGGCCACCACTTCAGCTGAGCAGGCCCTGTTGATGGAACGCAGCTGCAGGGCACTCCCTGTGCTAAGTGCTCTCCTTGTAGGATCTCACTCAGGCTCCAGGCAGCCCTGTGAGGTGGTTATATTAATAACCGTATGGCTTCCTGCTAAATATGGAGGAAACTGAGGCCCAGACAGGGGCAACACAAGCAAGGCTCCTGCAGAAGCGAGAGGCCACGCGGGAAGGGAATCAGTGTTCTGGAACCCCCAGTTGGCTTTTTTGCGGCCACCCCTGCAGCCCCCTCCCTCTGTAGGGGCACGGTGGTGACTAGGGGAAGGAGCTGAGCCCCTGGGGCTTCCTTGGTGCTGCGTCTGTGCTAAGCGCTTTCCGTAACCAACCTAGGCAGGTACTGATGAAGTACCCCTGATACAGACAGGGACGCTGAGGGCGCTTCCACCATGCCACGCGCGTTAAGCCCAGACGGGCACCTGGTTTGCGCACGGCTACCAGGAGGGCGCGCAGCCAGCAGCTCCCGCCGTCCCGCCCCCACGCGGTGATGTTAGCGCCACGCCCCCGCCCACAGTGCCGGGCTCAGGTCCGCACAATCGCTGTCCTCCTGGACGTGTGGGCGGACGTCCTTCAACTCCGCCACGGCCCGAGTCTCACCTCTGCCTGGCTCTCCTCCTCCTCCTGAGAACACTCCCTGGGAGTCTTTTATCAACTCCCGTGGTTCAACCACCAACCACTGAACTCCAGCTGACCCTGAACTCCAGCTTGGGCAGCCACCTGCTCCTGGGCGCCCCCTGCTCCAATGTCCCTAGGCCCCTCTCACTCACCGAATCCCAACTCATTGCTCTATTTTCCCAAACCCTCCTTCCCCGTTCTTCCAGTTCTCAGGGGCAGCGTCACCGCCCACCCAGTTATTTGGCCAGACGCCCTTGGCACTGACATTGCCGTATCTCTCCCCTTTTTCTCTGCAGCTCATCGGTTCCCAGCCTGTCCCTTCGGCCCCTGCCTCCCTCTGCCCTGTCCTCTCCTCTCTGTCCCCTTGGCTTGGCTCCAGCTCAGATGACCTCCTCTCTCTCTGGACCCTCGCCCCTCCTGTCCAGTAGGACAGCCTCCTCCTTCCCCTCCTGTGGGTCACCATGTGGCCCCAGAGGGTCTCTGCACTTGGAGTTCACCCCGCCCCTCCCCTGCTCACAGCCTTCCCTTGCAGCTCCCCAACACCCGTGGGCAAGGTCCCACAAACTTCTCAGCCTACAGTTTGAAGCCCTTTGGGACTCCCCCGCTGGAAGAAGCCTCCCCTTAAGTATCGGGGGGACTGCAGACTGCCCACCTCGGGTCGGGAACTGGACTCATGGTCTCCCCACCAGGTGCTGGCCCTCCTCTAACTAGTCCGTTCCTTCTGGAATCAGACAAGCTGCTGTTTCAGGGCGCTAGCTCTGGATTGACAGCCTGGGCGCAGATCCCGTTCCACTGCTTACTATTTTGGGAGACCCTCATAAGTCTCTTTTCTTCTCTGTGCCTCAGTTTCTTATCCCCAAAATCAGAAGATCCCCTCATAGAGTTTTTCAAGGAGTAACGACTTAGTTTGTGTTAGGAGCTCAGAACATAGAGTAAATTATGGCAATTCATTCAATCCACATTTTACACATGAACAGACAGGAGTTCGGGGCCGTTGGTCAAGGTCACCCAGGCTGCAGAAGTGGAATCGAGAATGGATCTTGAGGTCCCGGTGCCCCCTATGAGAAGCGTCGCTCTCTGGGTGTCAGGAGCTCATTTGCGAAGGGGTCTTCTGTTGGGTTGCAGTGGGAATGGGAGGGACTTCACAGGGGTTGGACGAGGTCATACTCATGGAGCAGGCATGCAAATCATAAAATCAGGCTGAAGCTTGCAAGACTGGTTAATACAAACGTGATTCAGACGTGGCCGCTGGAGCCACGTGTCCCGGGTTTGAGTTCTGCCTCTGCCCCAGAACTCTACGCACCCTCAGGCAAAGCAAGTCACTTAGCATCTGTGTGCCCCAGCTGCCTCATCTATAAAGTGGGGGTAATAATTCCTCCTCTCTCTTTTGTAGGAGTGTTTTGAGGTATTCATGCTTGAAATCTGTGCCTGGCACTCGTTATCTGTCTGTCCTATTCCCCTTGAGAACTGAACACTGGGGAGGGGGTCATGTGGGATCTTTCTCAGATGACAGTTGGGCAGCAGCAGATTTGGGACTGGAAGAAGCAACTGTGTGTTGGTTTTTTTTGTTTGTTTTTGGTTTTGGCTTTTTTTTTGACAGAGTCTCGCTCCTGTCACCCAGGCTGGAGTGCAGTGGCACAATCACAGCTCACTGCAACAGATTCTCCTGCCTCAGCCTTCCAAGTAGCTAGGATTACAGGCACCTACCACCATGCCTGGCTAGTTTTTGTATTTTTAGTAGAGATGGGGGTTTCATTATTTTGGCCAGGCTGGTCTTGAACTCCTGACCTCAAGTGATCCATCCACTTCGGCCTCCCAAAGTGTTAGGATTACAGGCCTGAGCCACCATGCCCAGCCAGAAACCACTATTTTGATCTCCCAGATGTGTCATCTTTTTCTGAATCCCTGTGACCCCTTTATCAAGACCCCTGTTTTACAGATTGGGGAACTGAGGCCCAGGGAGAGGAAATTTATGTGTGATGTCAAGCAAAGAGAATGCCACACACAGACTAGTTCTTCTCTGAGACTTTATTTCCTGGTCTGTGCTGGGGGGAAGCTGGAAGGAAGGAGGTAGAAAAACCCAAATCTTCTCTTTTGTCCTGGGAGGGCCCTATTGATAGGTGGCACCAATTGTGTGTTTGTTCATAGAAGGTTTGCTCCCAGATCTGAGAAAGGAGGGCCTGGGGCCCAGACTCCTGGGTCTGAGAGAGGAGACACTGGGGGCCTGGACTCCTGGGTCTGAAGGAGGAAGGGCTGGAATCTGGACTCCTGGGACTGAGTGAGGAGGGGCTGGGGTCTGGACTCCTGAGTCTGAGTGAGGAGAGGGCTGGGGACTCGGACTCCAAGGTCTGAGGGAGGTGAGAATAAGGGCCCAGACTCCTAGGTCTGAGGGAGAAGTGCCTGGGGGATCTGAGGTAGGAGGGGCTGGGCACTTGGACTCCTGAGTCTGAGAGAGGAGGGGCTGGGGGGTCTGAGGGAGGAGGAGGCTGGGAGCCTGGACTCTGAGAAGGGCCTGGGAGATCTGCGGGAGGAGGGGCTGGGGACTCTGACTCCTGGATCTGACAGAGGAGAGGCTGGGGACCAGGACTCCTGGGTCTCAGGGAGGAGGGACTGGGGTCCTGAACTCTTGGCTCTGAAGGAGGAGGGGCTGGGGGATCTGAGGGAGCTGGGGAGACATGTGTCTGCTCCCTGTGGTGACTGCTGCTCACTTTCCCCATATCTGTTTCTGCTCCCCTCTCCCTGTGATACTATCAGCTTCTTTTAGTTTTCATTATTTAGAGTCAGGGTCTTGCTCTGCTGCCCAGGCTGGAGTGCAGTGGTGCCATCACAGCTCACTGCTACCTCAAATTCCTGGGAATTTGAGTGATCCTCTGGCATCAGCCTCCCGAGTAGCTGGGACTACAGGTGTGTGCCATGGTGCCCTGCTAATTTTTAAGTTTTTTTTGTAGAGATGGGGGTCTTGATATGTTGCTCAGGCTGAGATTGTTTGTGAAATGTCATCCGGGGCTGGGTGCAGGGCCTCACGCCTGTAATCTCAGCACTTTGGGAGGCTGAGGTAGGTGGATCACAAGGTCAGGAGTTCGAGATCAGCCAAGCCAACAGAGCAAAACCCCATCTATACTAAAAATACAAAAATTAGCCTGGCATGGTGGTGCATGCCTGTAATCCTAGCTATTCAGGAGGTTAAGGCAGGAGAATTGCTTGAACCTGGGAGGTAGAGGTTGCAGTGAGCTGAGTTGGGCCACTGTGTTCCAGCCTGGGTGACAGAGTGAGACTCTCAGGAAAAAAAAAAGTCATCATGGAACACCCTGCCTTCCAGTGCAGGAATGCTAGCTGTGGCGTTACAAGAATGTTGTTTAGTGCAGCACTATTCCAAATAGCAAAGATTTGGAAGCACCCTAAGAGTCCATCGACAGATGAATGGATACAGAAAATGTGGTGCATATACACCATGGAGTACTATTCAGCCATAACAAAGAATGAGAGCTTGTCATTTGCAACATGGATGGAACTGGAGGTCAGGATGTTCAGTGCAGTAAGTCAGGTACAGAAGACAGAGTTCATAAGTTCTCATTTGTTTGTGGGAGCTAAAAATTAAAACAATTGAGTTGCCGGGCATGGCGGCTCACGCCTGTAACCCCAGCACTTTGGGAGGCTGAGGCGGGTGGATCACTGGAGCTTAGGAGTTCAAGACCAGCCTGACCAACATGGTGAAACCCCATCTCTACTAAAAATACAAAAAATTAGTCATGAATTGTGATGTGCACCTGTAGTCCCAGCTAGTTGGGAGACTGAGGCAGAAGAATCACTTGAACCTGGGAGGTAGAAGTTGCAGTGAGCCGAGATTGTGCCACTGCACTCCTGCCTGGGTGACAGAGTGAGACTCTGTCTCAACAACAACAACAAAAGAGACAGACATACAGGGACAGTGAGAAACAGACACGGGGAAGAGGAGGGGAGAGAGAACAGAACCAGGAAGGGAGTGAGAAATAGACAAATGAGGCTGGGTGTGGTGGCGCACACTTGTGGTTCCAGCTACTCTGAAGGCTGAGGTGGGAGGATTGCTTGAGGCCAGGAGTTTGAGACCAGCCTGAGCAGCATAGTGAGACTCTGTCTCTACAAATAAACAAACAAAAATTAGCTGGGAATGGTAGCACGTGCCTGCAGTCCCAGCTACTCAGGAGTCTAAGGCAGGAGGATTGCTTAAACCCAGGAGTTCAAGGTTACAGTGAGCTCTTATTGTGCTGCTGTATGGCAGCCTGGGCAACAGAGTGAGACTGTCCCTAAAATGAAAGAAAAACAAGCAAACTGGGGTCGGGCATGGTAGCTCATGCCTGTAATCCCAGCACTTTGGGAGACTGAGGCTGGTGGATCACTTGAGGTCAGGAGTTCGAGACCAGGCTGGCCAACATGGTCTTTACTAAAAATACAAAAATTAGCCAGGTGTGGTGGTGTGTGCCTGTAGTCCCGGCTACTCAAGAGGCTGAGGGAAGAGAGTCGCTTGAACCCGGGGTAGGGTGGAGGTTGCAGTGAGCTGAGATCACACCACTGAGCTCCAGCCTGGGTGAGAGAGTGAGACTCCATCCCCCCTCCCGCAAAGAAAAGCAAACTGGGGCTGGGGTTTTGCATCCCAGACCAAATGCCTGCACTCTGAATGCCTGCTTGGGTGGAGCTCTAGTGAGGTGGAATGGGGGACAAGGGCTTTAGCCAAGGACGCCTGAGATTATCCTGTGGGGAAGCATCAAGAGTGTGAACTGGATGAAGCTGTGAGGCAATTATCCATGGCTCTCTTACCTTTCTGCCTGTCCTGAAAAAGCTATTAGTCACTTTTTAGTTCCGGATTGTCTTTTTACAGATGTTTCTCTAGGGCCTCAGAACATGTTTGTTTACTGTCTTTGATAACAAAGATGTCCTTCTATAACAGATGTATTTATTGGCCATTTATTTATGATCCTTCCAGGGCAGGTGGAACAGTAGCCCAAGATAACAAAGATAGTATCTCCCTGAGTTCCAGATTTGGGCCGATTTCCTTGCATCTCCCTTATAAGATTGAGGATTTGTAAACACATGAAAACACAGGTTCCTCAGCATTGATACAAACTACTGTATGCACAGCATCCACCTCAGCCACTCTGATCATCCCCGCAGGACCTAGGGGCAAGGTGAGCCCGTGAGAACGTGAACCTCATGCTGCCTGCTGTACCATGAGTAATAAAGCTCTTTGTCTCTGACCCAGGAGTCTTTGTGAGTTCTGCCAGTAGTTTCACTGGATACAAAATTCTTGGCTGATAATTGTTTTAT